TAAATAAATCACCTTATATTTGGTACTTTCTAAATATTCATAAAATCAAAATATTAAAATACTGCGGTTGAAAACCCGCTTACCAATCGTGACAACTATGGCAAAATCCCCTCATGAAGCAGTAGACTTTTATAAGGCTGTAATGGCTGGATGGATAGGTATGGTGGGGTGTGCCCACTGTTCTCATATCCGATTATCAACCTCTTTTAATTTTGATTATATCGTTGTGGGCATCATTAGGTGCACGTTAATTACAAGTGCTCCATTCTCAAATACGCTCTAGAGTCTTCATAACTATAAGAATACTTAAATACCTCACCGACATACTCATTGAAGGACTATTTGTCATAGTTGCAACGCTTGGCAAGCGGGTTGGCAACTGTAGATTTTTATTTTAACAAATTATTTGTCTTTGTTGTTTACTGATACAGATTAACGTTATCTGACTGCCTCGTTGGTCTAGTGGTTGTAGTAGTGCGACTTCTGATCATGAGGTCCTGGGTTCGAATCCCGGGTCGGACCAAAAAATCAATTACGAGTTTTTCCGTCATGAAATTCTCAGTAGCTGCCCGGAGTCAGGAAATTGGCGGTATCTTACCCCCGTGCCTCTGAAAGTAAAACCGTTTAAAAGTTAAAAAAAAATTCATATTTCTCAGATTCCCTGAAAAACTTCAAAGTAATTTTCATATAAATGCCCAAAGCATTCCGGCTCATTATCCTGACATGCTTGCGTCCTTTGAATCCCATAACATTCACGCCATTCTAGTCTCTGAATCTTGGTTGAAACCATGCTTGCCATCCACTTCTTATTCATTACCAGGATTCCATCTTATTCGCAACGACCGTATTGGAAGGGGGGGTGGAGGTGTGGCAATCTATCTCTGTTCTTATTTACCTTTTGCGGTAGTAAGCTTGTCCCCCCAACCATCTCCTTCTAATGCGGCTGAGCATCTCTTCATTGAAGTAACCCTATCCAATACGAAAATTCTTCTAGGCGTTTGTTACAGTCCTTCTCTTCATATTTACTATTTCTCTTCTTTCGAATATTTATCAGAAAATTTAATCCCATTATATACTCACACTATAATCATGGGTGACTTTAACACATGCCTACTCAAGGGTGACTATCGGTGTGAAAAGCTAAAATCATTAACCGAGGCATGTAATCTACATATATTACCACTATCTGCTACGCATAAAATGCCTGACTGTACTCCATCACTACTTGACTTAATTATTGTATCCTCTCCAGATTTTGTCCTGAAGCATGGCCAGCATGACGCTGATCTCTTCTCTCATCATGATCTCTTGTTTCTTACATACAAAGTCCGTCCTCCTAAAGCAAAATCGAGAATCCTTCTCCAACGTAATTTTGGTGGAATGGACAAAGAACGTCTTCTGGAGGATGCTAGTCGCATGGACTGGTCAGCTGTTGAAAATGCTTCAACAGTCGACTTGAAAGTCGAGTTATTTAACTCCTTTCTTATCCAACTTTATGACATCCATGCCCCAGTAAAACCAATAAAAATGAAACATTTACCTGCACCTTGGTTAACTGATAGTCTAAAAAAACTTGTTATAAAAAAGGATTTGCTAAAAGTAAGTTAAAATCTGATAAATCTGAGAAAAACTTACGATATTATAATAAAGTACGGAATCGCTGCAATACATTGTGTAAGGATGCACAAAGACGCCATATTCATAAATCCGTCGTTAAACGGCGACGCAGCCAAAGTTCGGAAGTTTCTTCAGTCTCTTGGAGTTGGTAAAACATCCAATAATTCTCCTCATCATAATGTTGATGTTGAATTCCTTAACAAATATTTCACCTGTTCTAGCACATTAGATAGCTCAGATAAAGACCGGACTCTGAGTATTCTTTCTTCAATACCAACTCCTGATTTTCCACCGTTTAATTTCTCTCCTTTCTCTGATAGTGATGTTAAAAAGAACATTTTGTCCATCTCGTCCAATGCCGTGGGTAATGACAATGTTAGTCGTAACATGATCTTACCTATCCCAGAATTTGTTACTCCTGTCCTCACCCATATCTTGAATAAATCCATCTCCTCTTCAAAATTTCCTGATGTTTGGAAAAGTGCACTTGTAACTCCTCTCCCAAAAAAAGCCCATGCTTTGCATTTTTCCGACTTTCGTCCTATCTCAATTCTCCCGTTTTTATCCAAACTCCTGGAGAAACTAGTTTTCTTTCAGTTAAATCTCTACCTAAATAGAAATTGTATCCTGGATCCTCTCCAATCTGGTTTCCGATCGGGTCATAATACGACAACAGCTCACTGTTGGCCTGGAAATTTTTGGGTTTTTTTTTTTGGGTCTTTTTTTTTGTAGTTGTGGTAACCTATTGCTTGATTTTAGCAATGCGTTTAACACTTTTGATTTTGACATCTTATTGAGTGTGTTACGTTCTATTAACATATCTCCTCCGGTGATTGGCTGGTTTCATAGTTATCTTTACGACCGACGGCAGCGTATTCGCATCGAAGATGAGTTCTCATCTTGGTGCGAATTACGGGCTGGCGTGCCTCAAGGTGGTGTGCTGTCTCCTTTACTTTTTGCTATATTCATTAATTCTATCTCTCAAAATATTACTTCTCTCTATCACATGTATGCAGATGATCTCCAAATCTACACTCAGTCAACTCTGTTAAATCTGCCTTCTGCTGTTGCCACCATCAACAATGACTTAGCGGCGATAAACCATTGGAGTCAGCGTTATGGTCTAAAAATTAATCCGTTCAAGTCCCAGGCTATAGTTATTGGTGGTGGAGGGATGGTCTCCAGAGTTGACTGGAACAACCTACCCTCGGTGACTAAATGACGTTGTTATACCCTACAGTAAATCTGTAAAAAATCTGGGGATATATCTAGATTCTACCTTGTCGTGGTCGCAGCAGTTAAAACAAGTGAGCAAAAAGGTGTTTGCTACTATGGGTTTACTTCGTCGTTTACTTTTATTTTCTCCCCATTCCCACTAAGATTATGTTAGCACAATCCTTACTTCTCTCTATTCTCGATTATGCGGACGCAAGTTATCTCGATTTAACTGAAGACCAACGGAACAAACTTGAGCGAATTCAAAATATTGCAATTAGGTTCATATTTGGTTTGCGCAAATATGATCATGTATCCGAATATCGTTTACAGCTCAAGTGGTTACCCATTCGCTGTCAACGGAATCTGCAAACTGTATCTATTTTGTACTGTGTGTTGTTCAATCCTTTAACTCCAAGCTACTTGAAGGAAAACTTTAAGTTTCTTGGTCATGATCGACCTGATAGCGTTCTTCGGTCAGCCGGCAAACTAATTCTAGAACCATGTTCATTTCGAACAAAATTTAGTTCATCATATGGAATGAACTTCCACTCCAAATTCAACGTGCACAAACTTTGGAAAGTTTCAAAAGTGACGTCAAGAAGCATTACCTAACGCTTTGTGGTTATTGATAACCAATTCTAGCAACAGATAGTTATTCTGTGTTTTTCTTTTTTTCCTCTTTGTTTTGTATTTATTTATTTATTATCTATGTATATATATGTATGTGTATATATTTATATATATGTACCTATTTATTAATATGTATGTTTATTTTATTATTTTTTTTATGTATTATTGTGGTATGTTAACAAAATATAGTTAAGTTTATTTAGATATTAGAATGTAAGTGTAACATAAAACGCACCACCTCCTACTGTTCTTAATTCCAGTTGCTCCTTAGCCCAAAGGTTGTCTGAAAGAGATCGCTCTTTAGCGATAAGACCGCCTTATTGTACATACGTATATATTAAGTTTTCTCTGTAATGTATTTATTCGTTGTATATGTGTGGTGTACAATAAAGTATATACTACTACTACTACTACTACCGTCGGTCCTGCGCCTGATCTCTCTCCGGTCGTGTCGGCTTACCGTCTACTATAAATCTGACTTGTTCATTAGGGTGGAGTGTTTTGTTTTTTTTTTACATTTAAGATACGGTGGAGTGCGGAAACGTTCAGAATATATTAGGACAGCAAACATGAATTTTGACTGGAAGTACTGCCGCATGGCCATTGAAAATTTCAAAAATCCTGAAAATAAGGGATTTTGGTAAATGTGAAACAGGTACAAAAAGTTGAGAAAATCTTATATTTTATTAAATAATTTAACACTTTACATTATAGAGAGTGAAAAAAAAATACAAAAAATAACGTACTTTCCATTAAAAATAAAAATAAAATCATCTAAAACTATAAATTTTTCACCGTTTGGTGAGCTACGACTGAGGCTACGAACTCTTTTTTTGTGTTGAAGACCGGCATGATATTGTTCGATTTTAACTTATTTCGGATCCAACCTTCACGTTTATCTGGTTCACACACAGCAGCACATGACTCAGTGACCAGCTTAATGCATCTTTCAGTAGCTTGTGAGTGGCACGGCATTTTGCGAAATGTAGGGAGAATCTCCGTTTCGACTATTTAAATATTCCGAATAGCTCCATAAATTACGTTGGTTTGTATCTGTTTGATCAGAGGAGACTCCGATACAAAGCTCCAATCAATCAAATCTGTATACTCAGCGGCAGAGAAGTTAAATGATAGTAATTTAAACACTCGTATCGGCGCCAAGCCCGAAGTCTGCTCTCGTATTTTAACAATGCGCCGGAGTGCTAATTCTTTGATATGGTTGCGATCGTCTGCAAGCATACTAAGCAAAATGTTTTCGCTGTGGCCGAAGTACCCATTGCGTTGAAGCACAGGGTCAACTATTTCATAAGGTTTGCAGGAAGGTATCTCGATAATGTAATCATTTTGTGCAGGTGTTTCGATCCGTACACGCAAAATGGTTTTGTTTTAATTTCAAACCATATCGGAGCATATACTCGGATGACGAAGTCTGCTAAGATACGCAAATTATGAGAAGGTTCACTATTGTAAACATATAGTCGAAGTATCCTGTTAGCTGTTGTCAGCCACTGTGAATGAACAATCTTTCCGGGGTTTCACTTGGCTAAACTTACGTCACATTGTCCTCTGCTAACTGCGTCACATATTTCATACAAGTAAAGCTGATCTGTACTGAGATCACTACGTGATTTTGAAATATCTGGTAGTTTACATGCGATGGGTGTAAATTGAACAACTGGAAGATTCTCACAACCCTTCAACGCTTTACCAATGACGCCTGTGAAACTTCTTGGTCCTGTAGTTTTCCCATCAAGATGCTCAAACAGATGTCGTAAAGGAAGTTCGTTGGTATGCAATAGACACACGAGCCATTGAAGAGGGCGATGAAGTTTCTTTTCTAGAAGACAAATGATTCCAGCCTTGTTACCGGTGTTGACTGCCGTACCGTCGCACCAAATTGTTATTATTCGCTTCAAATCACACTTCAACATCAAATAAAGGTAAAGTGTTTTTTGAAATTGTCAGTGCATCTGCTGTGGCCAGTGTAATGTTCCCGATGTATTGCGAGTTCGGCTCTTTTACCAAGGTTATGTGCTCTTCAACAACGGTTTTCATATTTTCATGTTTTTCCGTTTCCCTTCCGTTTCCGTTCATGAATTTGTAATGACATAGAATTCTCTTCAAATTGTTTTCTTTTTAACTTCCGATCAGACAAATCCATATTCTTAAGTGTAGCTTTTTTATCTAGAGATCCAATCATCATTCTTCTTTCGCCACGTTGATCGAGCAAAAACTCGTGATCTTGTTTAGGAATTTTACGAGTTTTCTCACAAGAACATGTCGACAACGACTTGCACTTACAAGATGCAATATCAAACAAAACTTCACAGTCTTTTTTAAACTTCTGTAGTTTCTGTTTATAATTTTCGTTGTCTTTACTCTTTTGGTAGGATTTCAGAAGGGCGCGATGTTTGTCATGATAGGATCTTATTTTTGACACTATTGTTTTATGTTGTACTATTGGTAAAGAGGCTCGTTTCCAGATGTTTTCGATTTCGGTCGCAACAATATCACAAGTGGCCTGTACTAAATCTTGTCGTCCCTTTTCCGCACATCGTGCCACTGATACTAAGACATAATATTTCATCACATCACTGTAGGTTGGCAGCACATTTTTTGGTAATTCACAACCAGTACCGAAGATAGGCGACGAATAATTTTTTATGTTGTCTCATGTCAAATCTAGCTAAATGACTAATTACGCAGAGAACTATGCGACACAATTAACCCGCGTCCCGCACTTTCGCCTCTCCCCGTGGACTCCGGGCGGCGAAACGCTCGGCCAATGACTTTATATGGTAAAACAATGCGCGATTGGTAGATCAAAAATATGACGCCATAGGCAACACTGTGTAACTTTTTTGCAATTTATGTCATAGTGAGATTTGTTCATATGTGAATAAAGGCATTTTTAAGAAAAACAATTTATTTAAAACCATTTTGCATGTCAAGAAAGTATACCTTTTTTTTTCGCATATTTCGAAAACTTTGCGAGCTATGCGGCAGTAATTCTAATTATATTTTGTGTAAATGATATTATACGAGAGGGTTATGTTAGTGTCACAGCACCTTTTGCGACATCCGCCACTTCAATATTCCACAAAAAAAAATATCCCATACAAGTGCTCTCCACCCTATTGTTCATATTTCCTAAGCCTGCATTTATTCCTTTGACAGTTGGAACCGATTTTTACAATTTCGCATATAAGCCATTTTGACCGTATCTTATACAATTATAATTTTATACGATTTTTTTTGGTACACAAAATTTAACTACAGAAAAATGATTTCGTACTATATTCGTTCGTATTTCATTTCTTTTTGTCATAAGACCTAAATGCACATAAATTTAGACAAGGAATATTTCTATGCATCACGAGGATCGTCACAGTCGTGATATTAAAATTTGCTCAACAATACAAGAGATTGACGCGTGATTTGCAACTTACTGAAATTAATACGTGGTGGTGAAATAAACAGTCACGATTTTCTTATGTAGACACATCAAAGAACTGGCGAATATGTAAGGCTTGTTTACTTAGCGGTACAACTTTATTAATAAAGGCTGCGCTACTAGCTCATAATATCCTACTGTTCATGTCCGAGACAAGCGTCATTCGATTCTATAATAATATGACAGCTTGAATGTTATATAAATTACAAAAGCCTTCATTATATTATAAATATCAATACTATAACTTTTAAAACATCTAAAGCGTAAATATGAACGAGAATTACTTGCAAAATCGGTTTCAAATAATAAATTACTTTGGAAGAATATTAAAAACATAACATAACCATTGCGATCAATCAACTATATTAATGAATACTTTGTCAATATTGGTAAAAAATTAGCACAACAACTAAATTCAAGCGGCCATAACATACAACATCATAACTTGCCTACACAGTCTAATTCCTTTGTACTATTAAATACGGACACAGGTGAGGTGGAGAGCATATTAATGAATTTAAAGACTGATAGTGCCCCTGGTTGGGACGGGATCTCCACTAGATTTTTAAAGTATGCCAAGAACGAACTGATACCAATTTTCACCCACCTCACTAACCTATGTTTTGAAAAAGGCGTTTTCCCGGAGAAACTAAAAAAATCTTCTATTGTACCAATATTTAAGGGAGGGGACAGAGGCAACATCAGTAATTATAGGCCCATATCAATATTACCAGCTATATCAAAAATACTTGAAAAATTAATTAATATTCGACTTCTTAATTATTTAAATTCTTTTAATATATTATCTCCTTATCAGTTTGGTTTTAGGCATGGCAAATCTAGTGAGGATGCAGTTGCTCGTATGACATCATTGGTGGTTGATGACTTAGATAAAGGTCAAAAATGCTTAACTGTGTACTTAGATCTCATGAAAGCGTTTGACACGGTTTCTGTCCCCCTACTCTTATATAAACTGGAAAAAGTCGGAGTAAGAGGTACTGCCCTTAAACTTTTTAGAGACTACCTCTCCAATAGAAATCAATGTGTAAAAGTTGACCAGTTTATTAGTGACGACGCAACTATATCATATGGTGTGCCACAGGGCAGTATATTGGGGCCTTCCTTGTTTCTGCTTTACATAAACGATTTGTGCAACTTAAAAATAGAAAACGCACAAATAATTTCGTATGCTGATGATACAGCAGTTATCTTTAAAGGTAAATCGTGGCAAGAAGTTAAGGAAAGGGCAGAATTTGGGATGGCCCAGGTGGCAAAATGGTTAAATTTGAATTTACTGACCCTTAATGCAGCAAAAACTAATTATATCTGTTTCAGTATATCTAAACGCACGCAACCCTCGGAAGATTTCAATATAAGGATTCATACGTGTAACAACATAAATAACTGCGCCTTTAATAATAACTGTCCATTTATAAATAAAGTAACATATACACAATATTTAGGTGTAATAATAGACCAGAAATTGTCATGGTATTCTCACATAGAACATGTATCTAACAGAATTGCTAAATTAAATTGGATATTTCGTACCTTAAGACATGTGGTGCCAAGAAAAGCGTCCACTGAACTTATGCAAAACAAATTATTAAACGATATATACACAGCTTTGGTACAATCCGTTTTGGGGTACTGTATATCTATATGGGGGGGGGGGGTGCTTGCAAAACAAAATTTATCCACTTGGAACGTGCGCAACGTGGTTTAATTAAAAATATGTATTTTAAAAACAGAAGATATCCTACTACAAGTCTTTACAATGAAACACAGTTATTATCAGTACGAAAAATTTATGTACTGCACACAATATTAAAGAAACATAAGTCCCTATCTTTTAATCCAAATATTTTACAAAAGAGGAGAAAAGAATTAGTAGCACAAGTTCCCAATACTCACACGTTTTTTGCTAGAGTTCAGTATAGTAAACGCGCAGCAGAATTATACAACAAAATTAATAAACATGTAGGAATTTACACAATGACCCATTACGAATGTAAAAATGCAGTAAAAAAGTATCTACAACCACTTGATTATGAGGAAATTGAGTCTCTCCTTGAAAAGTCGCTCATATGAATACTCAAATAAGTACAGCACGCACACACACACGCACGCACGCTTGCACTCACGCACGCACACACATACACACACACACACACACACACACACACACACACACACACACACACACACACACACACACACACACACACACACACACACACACACACACACACACACACACACACACACACACACCACACAAGCATGCACGTTTTTATATTAGTTGTCTAAAAGTATTTCATAAGATTTTGTTTGTGAAGTTGTGGAAGAGCGGAGCCTCCTACTACAGGCGCTCTGTGCTTAAAGGGAGGCTCTAGCCACTTATTTATGTTAAAATACCTTGTGATTTAAATAAAGAATTATTATTATTATTATTATTATTATAACAAAATTTGGTGACAGATATTAGGTATTATCACTGACCTACTATTAAGTAGTAGGTCAATGAGCATTTTATTATATATAAATTTACATAGCACATACGAATATTAATAAGAAAATAACTAATGTTGTTGTACATTATTGCCAAAAATAGTTTAGAATACCAGTGGTGGCCTCAAAACATCACATAGTTGAATCACAGGGCAGATTGTATCATTAGCTACTTTTGTTATAAGTACTTTTGTGGTAAGAAAATAAAAACAATTGTGAGGAATTGTGAATTGTGAATTGTGAGGATATAAGAACTAATATCCGTATACCTAGCACTGTGTCCATCATTACATGCATACTGCACGACTTCTTGGGGTTACACAAAGAAAATGATTTTTGTGAGGGCCCGATTATTCTATCCTTTTTGATTTGACGCTGAGTGTTAGAAGACTCACATGTCTGTAATGTTTTTATTCCTCAAACGAGCAGGCTTCCTCACTTTAGTTTCTTTCACTCTCGAGCACGTGGTAAATCTGCCAAAAAAAAAAAAAACAAGCGCGCAGTCTCTTTTCGGTATCTTACTCGTGTATCTAAATTGCTTATATCAAGTTATGTCCGCTAACCCGCATTATGGCAGCACGGTGGACTCTACCAACTACAAAATATATTTTGTTTCATTACAATAACTTAATTCTTCTTAAATTTTTAGATATATTACATATACGTTTTAGTTTCGTGGTTAGAGTTACAAACGATTCACCTAATGGTAAGTAACGCAGTCCATTGTGATCCCTGCTTTGGTAGCAAACACTTTTATGTAAGGTTGGTAAAAGTTGCCACAGACATGTAGTTACCACTTGAAACTAATTTGTGATATCTCACAACTTGTAATTATAAGGGCTCCCTTCATACTGGAATGCAGTAGATGTGGTAGAAATAAGTGGGTGAGTGATTGCAATCCAAATGGAGTCCGTGACAGAAAAAAAACTATGTAGCAGTTTGAAGAGCCTCTCAAATAAAATGCCT